ATCCATTCCGAATGGCGCGGAGCCTTGGAACAGATGCTCCGTCACCTGCCGGAATCCGACGGAATTCACAAGGATGCGAGACGGAAAGACGAAGAAAGATTCACCGATGACGAACTTCCGAGGTGAAGAAGTGGTCGAAACTTTGCATATTTTGAGTGACTAAAGCATTGATGAATCGATCCAACCCACTCTTCGGGTACAACAGACTCGGATTCCCGAAAAGGTCGCGCAGCTCCATGATCTCCTTCTTCTCCTCTCCTCCGAAAAGCCTGCGTCAAACTCTTCTTTCAGCGGGTAATCTACCCAAAAACCCCAGAGGGAGGGGAATCGGGGAAGGAAACGATTTCTCACTGGAAAATCCCCTGGAGGAGCGTGTGGCCGAATCGGAAGGCGGCCACGCCGAATTCATTCGTCGCGCTCGGGTCGATGCTCGGATCGTAATTGGATCGATATCCCGATTGCGATCCCGAAACTCCCCATGAATGTTGACCATGAATATTATGATATCGGTTTATGATTGCGCCTCGAAGTAATTATCGCAGCTCAGAATAATCATCACTGGTCCGAGATGAAAGATTCCGAAACTGATTTTCGAATTGAAACATTCAGGCAACGGAATAACGAAAAATGAGAAAATAGAAATGCGTATTTGATGCCCTATTCTTTTTCGACGACCGAACGCATCAAACGACCAGAAACGAAACTTTCGAAGCGACTTTGACGTACAGTAAAACATTTTTAAAAAAATTATTCATACTTTTCCCTACCTATGACGACGATGAGACGTCATGCCAGATGAATTCGTTATGCTAAATATAACCGGTTCGGACATCTATCACTAGCATATAGGTGTTATATCTAGGTGCTATATCTATCACCAGTGTAATCTAGAAACTGCGGAGGTTGTTTGCACATTCGGGCAATCAAACTCGATAGTGTTAGATATAACTGATTCGTAGCCTTCACGACGGATTTTAATCGCGCGAGTGCCTAGGCTTTTTCTTCACTTGAAGCGAGAATTCACCATCCCCAGCGCAGCATCTCCTAGGGGTTTCGAGAGATGGTGCGGCTTGGAATGAAGAAAATGAAATTCTGAAATGAGGAGGAGCCAAATTTTTCTGTCAAGGGGCGGAATCAGGTCGAGGAATAATTTTGTGGCTGAGTATGGACGAAAAGAAATAGAAGTGAAAATTATTATTTCCCGCAAGTGATGTTAAATTATGCGAAGATGGCGATGCTAATAACGAATAAAATATGCCAAATGATGTCGCAATTTATCTAAGACAAAAAAAAAGACAAGAGAAGCATGTACGCTGGGCAGAAGCTGAATGACCGAACCAGAAAAAAATCATAACGTATGACTACGCCGAAAAAAAAGAAAACGAAAAAATACCTAAATGTAAACTCATGAGTTTTCATGAGATCTGCAGGATTTCTCGTCATGAAACCTCATGACACCTGTGTTCGAAAATCACGGGAGGGTCTTATATTTTTCAGGATTTTTTCTTCATCGGAATGTTTTTAACTGTAAAAAAGGTGTTTTGAGAACAGAAAACTGTAAAAAAAAAAATCGGAATCGTTAAAAGGGACTGAAAATTTTCGATCTGAGTTGGTGGCTTCGAATTTCATGTCGTTTGTATCAGGATATTTACTTTTTTTTTTCTTTCAAAAGAATGAGAGTAAGAATTCCAGGTCGGCGACATGATATTTTCCTTTGGCATGTCTGATTCGAAGAAACATTACTCGATGCGATAACATCGATTGTAGCGAGGTGTTCTTGTGAACTGAAACCTTGCTATCCTGCTTTCATTTGCGGTGGAAAGGGGTGGGGGTTGCAGTCCCAACCAAATCCTCTGTTTCCTACTTGAAGGTCATTCTTCCTGGATTTCATGCAAAGTGGGACAGAGATGAATACGATTGATCGTGAAGCATGGAATACCGAGAACGTTTGGGAGCCATTCGTTGAATGTGATGTGTTGCAACTAAGAGCCAAAGATCCTTCGTGCTTCTCGAAACAACGTCTCGTCGCTCCAAGCCGGATTCGATTACCCTGGCGACCTGATTGTGCTGCGGAACGATAACGGTGCGCACGACGAAGAGACTCACGACCTCGTCCACCCTCGTGTCCCCTGTCGATACGGGCCCCGTGAGAGGACGAGTCCAAGACTGACACCGCCCTCCCTAGGGCACACCGGCTGCGAGGCAGGGTGCGCACGGGTTGCCGATTGGCGTTTCCTGTCTCCCCCGAACATGAGAGGAATGAGGAGTAGATTCTTGAGGTGCGTGCGATCCTGAGGCTCTGGCATTCATTTCTGGGTACTTGGAAGCTGAATTACAGGGTCAAAACGTAAACATGACCCTACCTCTAGTCTGTGGGAGTCAGAATGAAGTGGAAAGAGAGGTTGCTGAGAATAAAATACATCTAGATGGTTAATAAGGAGGATCTCTTGATTGGAGTCAGGAGTCAGAGGTCAGGCGTGACACCTTGAGGGCCATGCACATACTATGACATCCGTGGCTACCGATCAACTATTTCCGATTTGTCCTGGTTATTCAGATTCTTCGAGTTGGAACTCTTCGATATTGGAAAATTTGTATCGTCAACAGTGGAGAAACAAATTTGTTTTCAGCCAATTTACTCCATGGCGACAGAACCGTCTCGTGAGACGGTTGTTCTGTCGCAATTCATGGTATCCCTCAATGAATTCATCAAAAACGTGTCCGGATGAACTGTCGTGTTCTAGGTTTTAGTCCCTGAACAGTTTTTAAAAATTTCAGCCACCTGACAGGCGATGTCCGTATGAATTTAGGGAGTGCCGAGGGGATGGCCGAGGAGTGAAGCACCGGTTTGACCCCTTCTTGGGGGAGAGTCCTCAAGGGCATATCCGTTAAATCAAACACTCGTTGCGAAGGAGCTAATCTCGGCTGGAAAGTGGAATGAAGCGGCAACTAATTTTCACCATGCAGGAGACATATTACTTAATGGTACGCGAATCCGAAAGTATATAACATCGGGATTCTTGTGGAATGAACGCAAGGGTTCGTTTTTATTTTCGACAACTGAACAGGATGTGAAGAGAAGGAAAAAAGGTGCAAAATTAAAATGATAAAACAGGAACGCGTAGTGGATTCCCCAGCCGATTCCGACCCAAGATCAAACCTTCCATGGACCAAACTGCGGTCGGAGAATCGTCGGGCTCGAGCAAGGCACCTTCTGGATCCTAAATGCAGAGCGGAAAAGGCGAATCACGAACGATTTCGATCGTGTCGGACTCGGAACCGAGAGAGAACTCACGTGCTCTGAAAGACCAAGGGCGGAATTCCTTGGATTCCACCATCGCTGTTGTCGCACAGGATCTGGGCGAGACTCGTCTTCCGGATCTCTGCCAGTTGCGCTACGATTGCCGAGGGAGACAGAGAGGACCGCTGGGTATCGTTCGAAGGAGAGAGAGTAGAAGGTGAGAGAGGAAGAGTAATCACCAGGCGTGAAGGAACCGGGTTGGTTTCCGATGTCGTAGAAGAAGCGATCTCCCTTCTGGAGACGCTGGAACATGTCGCCAACGATGAACTGGAAGGTGGGTCCCAACACGGCTCCGTCGACCGGTCGTTCGCTGACGCCACCGAGGAAGAGATCCACGTCGTCCACGCTCTCGTAGATCTGCGCCATGTCCTCGATCGTGTGGCTATCGATCTGAGGGGCGAAGCCGCTGAAGGTGCTGGCCCTGGCGAGACCGGAAATTGCCCGGTAGTCGTTGTATGATCGGACCCCGTGATCCCGACCCCTTTGCAGGTTCAACGACACCAGATCCATTCCGAATGGCGCGGAGCCTTGGAACAGATGCTCCGTCACCTGCCGGAATCCGACGGAATTCACAAGGATGCGAGACGGAAAGACGAAGAAAGATTCACCGATGACGAACTTCCGAGGTGAAGAAGTGGTCGAAACTTTGCATATTTTGAGTGACTAAAGCATTGATGAATCGATCCAACCCACTCTTCGGGTACAACAGACTCGGATTCCCGAAAAGGTCGCGCAGCTCCATGATCTCCTTCTTCTCCTCTCCTCCGAAAAGCCTGCGTCAAACTCTTCTTTCAGCGGGTAATCTACCCAAAAACCCCAGAGGGAGGGGAATCGGGGAAGGAAACGATTTCTCACTTGAAAATCCCCTGGAGGAGCGTGTGGCCGAATCGGAAGGCGGCCACGCCGAATTCATTCGTCACGCTCGGGTTGATGCTCGGATCGTAATTGAATCGATATCCCGATTGCTGGGTTGCGATCCCGTATTGCGCCATGTATGCTGACCCTGAACATCAGGATATCGATTAACGATAGCCTCGAATCGCGGCTCAACGTGATCATCACTGATCCGAGATTAGAAACTCCGGAATCGAATTTCGAGTTCAAAAATTTGGACAACGGAATATGGAACGAAAATAGCAATGCATATTTGATGCCCCATATTTTTCGATGACCGAACGCATCAAACGACTAGGAAAAAAAACTTTTGACGCGATTTTGACGAGCAGCCAAGCATTAAAATAAACATCTTTTTTACCCCTTCCATCTGAGTTGGTGGCCTCGAGTCCGAATTTCAGAATTTCCTGTTGTTTGCATTATGAGTTTTTCCTGTTTTTTCTCTGAAGAATCAGAGTTGAAATTTCATATTGGCGACGTTCAATTTTCTTTTGGCATGTCTGATTCGAAGAATCATTACTCGATGCGATGACAACTTTTCCAACTAGGTGTTCTTGAGCCCTGAAGCTTTGCTATCCTGCTTTTATTTTCGGTGGGGGGAGGGGGGGGGGGTGCAGTCCCAGCCAAATCATCTGTTTCCTACTTGAAGGTCATTCTTCCTGGATTTTATGCATAGTGGGACAGAGGTGAATATGATTGATCGGAAGCATGGAATACCGAGAACGTTTGGGAGCCATTCGTTGAATGTGATGTGTTGCAACTGAGCGCCCACGATCCTTCTTGCTTCTTGAAACAAAGTTTCGTCGTTCCAAGCCGGATTCAGTTGTTGTAGTACCCTGGCGATTTGATTGTGCTGCCGAACGAAGACGGTGTGCAAGACCGTGAGGCTCGCAACCTCGTTCACCCTCGTGTCCCCTGTCGATGTGGGCCCCGTGAGAGAACTCGAGTCCAAGACCGAAACCACCCTCCCTACGACTCACCGGCGGCGAAGTTCGGGACTTCCGATTGACGTTTCTTGGCTCCTTCGGACTCGAGTGGAAGAAGGCTCCGACCATCCAATTCGTAGGTTTTCATGAGGCCACCTTGGAATGCTCGCAGCTTCTTCACCGTCTCGAGGTCGGACCCGTACACGGAGTTCCCGTCAAGCCAGGAGGTTATTTGGTTCATCTGCCGGATGCACACCGTCCCCATTTATCACACGCGATCGAAGAGGATTCAGTGAGGCACCTAATCATTCGTCACCTGTTCTCTCGGTCCGAAGGCACAATCGGGTCGGGTGGCCGGAAGGCTTCTCACGAAGTTCATGCATCGTTGCTGTCGACACGAATTCGGATCGGTTTCATTCTTCTCTCTTGTCGTCACGAGCTTTTGAATTTGGAAGAGAAAAATCGCCACCTACCTGCTGTGGTCCATAGAAGCGATCCTCTGGGGAGATCTGGATGGCGAAACATTCGGGGAAAGGGGAAGGGGATATCACATCTCCGTTCTGGCAACAACTTACCCCCACCGCCCCCGAGTAACCATCTGCAAGGAATCCCGGTCACTCGCTTGAACGCTCGAACGAACGGCGGAACGGAGCGAAGGAACGAACCCACGAGCGTGGAGGTAGGGGTCAAGGTGATGTCGTGGTCGAGGAACTGTCCCCACTGCATTGTGATGAGCGTCAATTTCATACTGGGATGATCGCAATTCGGGACCAGCGTGGCGCTCACGGTCCGGGCACTGGGCAACGCCCTCCCCGACACTGCCACTCGAGGCGAGCTCACACCTGTCGCAATTTCGAAGGTCGTCCGTTTTCTTAAAGAGGATGGCTACGCGTCTTACGGTCGCCACAGCTGCTTGCACATGTGTCGCAGAAATTTTTAAGTGAATCGTGAAATTAGAATGGATTTACTTTCGGAGATATCGAAGAAAAAATGATTATATTTTGATTACCGATGCCTATTGTGTGGGTATTTTTTTTGTTGTTTACCTTCATATGAATGTTTCAGCCCATGCACTGAAGTGAATCTCTTTCTCGATCTCTCCATTGCGCTGGAGAATGTGGTCCATAATCGCTAGAATTATCATTTCAGGAATTTACTCGAAAAATAGTTTTCTTGGAATCATCACAGCGACAACTATTCCAGTTCAGGAGTTAACTTTGGCAGAACTATCAATAATTAGGTTCACATACAAACTTGGGAGGATGGTTCGTAACATTTGAAATCGAAGCATACTCCCCTGAGCGTGTTGAAAAGAGATGAAAAGTGCGATAGCGACTACTGATACCGGTACACCGATTTACAGTGTTATTAAATATGCTCGTTGGATCGACATTATTTATATAAATAATTTCTACCCTTTCAATGAATGTTCCCTGACGTCATACACCTCGAAAGTCGGAATATTTCCGAAACTCAGCAACGCATGCGTTACTTACATTTCAATTTTTTTTTAAATATTATGTAGAGTACGGTCAGAATTGGAAAAAGTCCACTCAGTCATCCGCGATCGCTTTTACATCGTTGATGCGAGAGGGAATCCTCACCGTCCTGGTAGGCAGGTGGACAGATGCGCTGAAACGCGGTCCGCGACTGACCCCACAGGGGGTTCTGGAGGTTGTTGCAGGCTCCGTCCTGGGTCCGGTACTTGCTGCTGGGATTGCACGTCGGTTGCGGGAGGCACGCTCCGGCCGCTGCCGTTTTCACCATGGAATATTTCGGCAGACCAAATGTCGCCTGCTCTGGACTCAGATTGAGCCTACGAAATGGAATGGCATGACGAAATGGAATGGCACGACGAAATGGAATGGCACGATCTTAGTGACATTCCATTGTACATTATGCTAATCGTGTCTCAGCCTGGCTCGAGTTCCCTTTGTTGACGTCGCCGAAGAAAATTCGTGACCTCGGTTTCGTTGAAGCGAACTGAATAAAAGAATGTATTCCTTCCTTCACTCAACGTTCTCAGATTGGTCTATTCCGATTCCTACTGGTCAAACATAGGGTGGTCCACAAATTGTGCTACAATTTGGTATGATAATTAATAGAAATTACACAATATTTGCAAAATTGAAACCTAAACTGGCTTTGAATTACATTTTGACCTTTGTACACGTATGCGATTTTTTCCTTGTAGAAAATCATTTCATGAAGATGACCACAATTCCTGTTTAAAAAAAAAACTCTCAAAACTTAGCAAAACATTGGTCATTGTTTCCGTTATTGTTCGTATGCAGGCCCCTCTCATGAACTTTTTCCTCTCGATCCTTCTGCATTTCGAGGGCTACCAGAGTAGCGCTCGAATTGGTAAGTAAGCCTTTGGTAAGTAACCCCACGAGAAGAAATCTGGGGCGGTTACAGTAATCGTACTGGGAATTTCAGAATTCTCCAACATTTTTGCCGAGGTCCCATTTTGCCCGAAATTGTGCAGAAGAGAAGACGTTCAGACACGACGTGATATCATTAAGACGAGTTGGCAACGTCAAATTTGCAAAAAGGCGTAATGGAATTACTGCCACGGCGGTGAGGCCAATGGCTTATTTCAAGAAATTGTGAAATTTTCGGAATCGACGACCCCCAATTTATTTTGATGTAAGAGCGATTTGTACTTTTGTAAGAGCGACGTGTACCAAGCGAGACCTCAAAATCCAAAGGAGTTAAAAATAAAAACTGCAGTTTGTCAGAGGGATTAGCATACTAACAGAAACATTGAAAACGCTCTGATACGTTACAGAGTGTGTTAACCATACATTATTTTTTTAATGTACCAAAAACATTTTTAATGATTTTTTTCATGTGGTTGATGAATAATGAAACAATGAAAAAATTATCCTTACATTTTGGTTTTTCCATTGGATTGTAATGGGTTTCAACGCAAAGCAGAGCGTGCCATATCTGGCACGCCTTGCAGTGTAGGATTAAAACGAGCCAGTCGGAAAAAGTTAAGCCTATCTCACTGGGGAAAAAGAAAAATCACCCAAGACGAACGAGTCGACTTGGAAACTCTCGACCCTTACTGCATAGTGAGATTCCTCGACGCCTCGACGCCGATCATGGCATTCCTCCCCAGCTGAAGCGCCTTCTGGTCGGCCTGGGAGAGCCTCTGATGGACGCCGGAGGGTGTCCCCGGCTTCACGACCAGCCCCTGACTCAGCAGTCGAGAAGCGGTCTGCTCGCGATGAGATACCATCTGGGACCCGAATTTCCCTGCCGCATTCAACTGGCTTTGGGTGAGCTTCTGGATCGGAACGTCTCGTTGCTGTACCCGGAAGACATCTCCTTCTCCAGCTGCATAGTGGAAATCATGTATGTACATATATATGTACTGTATATAAATATATATATACATGTTTTTAATGGGTTCCTACTGGAGGAGGTGGATGGTTTGAGGGGACAGCAGATGCCAGGAAGTCCGTTGCCGAGGGAACATTCCGACGATTCGCGATAATGAGTAGAGCAGTAGACCGGGAACGTGCAGATCCCCGGCAACCCGCTCTTCGTCTTACACTTCGTTCCGGAGTCGACTCGAGTCTGAGGCTGAGATTGGGCTCGACCAAGGGAGGGGATCAGGCCCATGTTCCCCAGCATACATCTGCGCAGGGAAGCGGTGTTATTCGTTTGTTGTGGTTACGCTGTCGTGCGAAAATATTGCGGTTTTTTCCTGGGGATTTCACGTCTGGAATGGTCAAAGACTAGGTCTGTTGTAAACGAGATCAAACTTCCATAAATTGTCTTACATGACCCTGGGGAATTTTTCACATAGAAGCGTGCCTTCTTCATGCATCGATGATTCGATTTTATTGGGAAAGTACTTAATGAAGGTTCATCACCGGATTTCGCATACTTCAATGACAATAAACGATCATTCCGATTAATCTTCCAACAAATAGGATGAATAAATTTATGACGCCTCCCGAACGGACGACAAGGACAAAGCTCGACTCACGTTGCAACGAGGAGGCGAATCGCGTGGCAGCCGATCATGCTGGTGCGCTTGGGACCGTGAGATGCAGCAGAGGCGGATGCAGGAACGGGAATGGGGCGGGTAGAGCCACCTGCCTCATATGCCCCATGCCCCTATGCCCCGCCCAACCTCCGCCCACGGGGCGTCGCTATTCGTCGTTCCGTCCCGTCGCTCAACCAATCAGAATCCCGCGACGCGCGGGAGCCAGGATCGCGGGACTGAATCCCATGCAAGAAATTCCATCTCCGCCCAGTCGTTCGCCGAGTGCGCTCGACGGCGGAGTAGCTAATTGAGACGATGCTACTTTCATTGTCCGATCCATAGTGATCGTCCGATGTTTCGCAGAATGATAATGAAAGAGATAGGGACACGATAGTAACCGATTAGACATCATCCAGTCGATCACGGCACAAGGTTGCACCACGACATTAACTTGTGGCGATAGCAACACCGTTAATTCACATGCATCGCCTTTCACTTCTGAAAACATTGCGTATGCGAGGAGTCTCTGTCAAGTTCCAGACCCACACTCGCAAGTTCTCCAGTCGATCAAACTTCAATATCGATTAGGACAAATAGGATTGGGAAATTTATGTGAGCCCTCACTGATGATTCGCGGGTCGAACTCGTTCCGGCCCCCAGCCGACGAAAAATCGCGTCCGCATTTCTACCCATCCGCGTGCAATCCTAAACTCCAGAAACCGAAGTCGAACCTCGATACAACGGGAAGCGGCCAGGGAAATCTCCAGATGCCGATCCATGCCCGTGGCATTCGCTCCAACTTGGATTTTTTTTTCGTCAGCCGTGAGCCGGAAATCACGCGTGAATTGATGCAGGACCAATTAGGCTCATTAAACTTTATCCACTGTGATGCAAAAGTCACTGTGCAGTAGAATTCATTTATTTTGTGCCCTTTATTTAGTACTATACTGTGTATCGCACGTATTACATCATCAGAGACAAATTCCTTCTCGATACTTAACCAAATATCAGGATCATCCCTGACTTTCGCGATTTCATGAGGTAATTTCATGAGGTAACTTCATTAGGTACCTTCACTAGGTACATTCACTAGGTGCATTCATTAGGTACATTCATTAGGTAATTTCATTAGGTACCCTCATTAGGTACTTTCGCACAGTGAATTTCGAATCACCCTCAACTAATTTCTGCGGAATTGCGCAAACCGGATGAGGCGGAATCGATTCGAGCCGCCGAGCGAGACTCGGCAGTCGGTTTGGTAACCGCGCGGTGAAGCAACCGTGGGCGATCTTCTTTCCTTCCGTCATTGCTCTCTACCGAGACGTTGCGTCTTGATATTTCGGTCCTATTGGCATCGACGCGATGGATTTATTACGGGCGGTGTCACTAACGTTACTCTTCGGTCGGAACCGTGCGAGTCGCATTCTTTACGGAGAACGCTTAACATCGCTTAACGTTCAAGGAGGATCGTATATGTGTCAAATTTGTTCGGTTGCTGGAGCGAACACGATCCAAAAAATTCAGAACGATTTGGACGGTTGCAACGGCAGGAGCTTCCAGGTGAAGAAAATGCATTCGCGTTCGTACGGGTCAACCTTGAAGGGGAATTCAACTAATTTCCGCGATCGAGGATCACTCAGTGATCAATAAGAGGAGCAATAGGTCTTTTAAGCGGTTCTACGATGAGACGGACGAGGGAGTCGGATCGGAGTGGCTCGAGCGACCCGGAAGGTGAAAACTTTCCTTTTAAGGCATTTTGCCCAAATTTGTTCTCGACGCGTGCTTAAGTTGGCCCGAGCGAGATCGGAGAGGCGCGATTGTGGCGAAGTGTCGACTCGGTTCGAGGCTCAAGTCCAATGGTTTCACCGGACCGAAGGTTAGGGAGGATTTGTGGTTCGGCCCTGGGTCGAACGATGTGCGGCCCTGTTTGGGTCGGGCCCGAATCCCGATGTGAATATCCATCTCTCGTTCGTCTGATCGCTTCCGACGGAAACGCCCACCTAACAGTCGCGACTCGCGACACGCTTCGCGACTCGCGACTCGCGACACGCTTCGCGACTCGCGAATCGTTCCCCTTAGAAGCCTTGCAGGGACACGATCCATTACGACCCCGATCGGGGTTCATTCGAGGGAGCGCGAGGGCGACGAACGCGCCGAAAAGGTCCTTTAGGAATCCTATAAGTTCCCTATGGCATTGAATGGGATCCCAAAGGAAGGCTATCGGATCCTCAATGTTTCCTGTTGGTTTCCAATAGGATTCCTAAAGAATTCTCGTCGGAATATTATGGGCGTTTCACGTTTCAAAAACCTTTAGGATTCCTATAGGACTATTTCGTAAGGGAATCCTGGATGCCGATTGGATGGATTCTTGCGGAGCCTGACTCATTTGGGGGAGGGGGGCGGGGCGGGGCGGGGCGGGGGGAGGAAAGCGCAGTTCCTGCTCTTTGCTATTGCAGAAACAGCGCTTCTCTTCTCTCACATGTGTTGCATCATTCCATTAAAAAAATGCGCCATCGTTTTTTTTTTTTGGCATCTGCATCGCGAGATTGCACCTACGTGACCCAGGTCACGTTCCGTTACCCACATCCAGAAGGTTTTCCTTTCCGGTTTCCCCGTCGAGTCATTGAGGAAAAAGGCGGATGACATTCGACCGAGGCGTTTTCGGTCATGCAGCCACGTAATTAAATAATAAATATTTAAATTCGATAATTGTGAAATATTGATTTAAAAACGATAGAGCCAGGGTAGCAGAAAATCCTCTGGTCCAATAATTCCCGAAGCCTTCTGCAAAAAAATTAACTCATTAGCTAATGAGTTAATTTTTTTTCGAATCATTAGGAGAGGCAAACTGTACTTGGAATCCCGACCACTCTCTTTCGTTACTTGCGTTACTAACGTTAGCTTCTTGGTTTTCCCCAGTCGATACTTTTCTAGAACATAAATTAACGATTTCGCGAAAGACCGAGAGCTCGCCGCGACCGCGCATTTTTCGCCGCCGCGTTTACGGAAACGGAAATCCGCGAAGGCCATCCTCCGAGAATAATAATATTCTCTTGCGGGCTTCGCCGAATAAATTGCCAAAAGTGTTAGATGAGGGGGGGGGGGGCATTCAAGGATATCCCGAAATTGGAGTTCGGCGTTTTGCGGAGCTTCCCCCTGCAATCAACTACTTTCCCTCTGACACTTGAAGTTCTCCATTTTTTTTTAGACGGAAATTATTATGAAAGAATGGAATTAATATCTCTCTCCCCCCCCCCCCCCCCCCCCCCCCCCCCCCC